AATTGTCACTAGTATATCTACCTTAAAATGATGGCTAAAGTTCTACAAACAGAAAATAAGTAGTAAAAGCAGGACTCTTGGAAATCAATACAGAAAGAAGCATACAGACAAATGTATCTGGACTGCCAGCCACACAGTTGAGTGGCAAAGAAAACTGGAGCACTTAAGTCAGCGTACTGGACCTGGTGAATCCTGGCAAATAGACTGTATGGATTGCCCACCTTCATATGGAGAATACTGTTGGGCATGGACTATAGTAGAAACCCTTTCAAGATAAGTCACAACTATCTTCCACACAGCATATGGGGACAGTACTACTCAAGGATTCTTAGATGACCTATGTTACGTATTTAGCTTCCCCTAACACACCCAACAAGATAATAGTGCTATTTTTATAGCTAGAAGTACCAACAGTGGAGAGTGACCTGGGACATTAGCTGGACCTTTCAACACCTGTATCTCTCCCAAGAAGGTGATATGAAGAGAGACTGTGAACTCTTAAAAACTGAAAAAGATAATTGGACAACCTGTCAAAAATGCTGTCAGTGGGGGCGCCTGGGTGGCTCAGCGGGGCACCTGGGTGGTTCAGTGGGTTAAAGCCTCTGCCTTCAGCTCAGGTCATGATCCCAGGGGCCTGGGATCAAGCCCCGCATCGGGCTCTCTGCTCAGCAGGGAGCCTGCTTCCCTTCCTCTCTCTCTCTACCTGCCCCTCTGCCTACTTGTGAGATCCGTCTGTCAAATAAATGAAATCTTTTAAAAAATGCTGTCAGTGCTGTACAAATTAAGTTAATTTGGGCTCCACATGTGATAATCACGTAAAAGTACACCTCCCATATAAGTATAATGTTTATTTATGAGGTTCAGGAGTGGGAGAAAGCCCTAACTGGCTACAGGAAACCCAGACTTCATAATTTACCCTTATCGCTCTATTTTTTCCCCCTCCTATGCCTATCACTGGAAAACTGGACTGCTAGAATTTGCAAGTAGGATAAAAAGAGCTGGGATACTGAAACTTAGTTTATCTCCCCACCCAGCTATGCTTGCTGGATTTGGGCAATTATAGATAATGATTATAATGACCATGAATTAGGTGAAAACTCAGGTGATGTTGGCATGACCCACATGTCAGAGGGTAGGAGATATTCTAAAATGTTCTAAATTATAGAAGAAAGGAACTTCTGAGCTAACCAAGGATGAGTCTAAGCCTATGGTGTGGGTGAGAAATGGAGAGGACAGGGAAAAGGTGAGAGACTAGTCATAATGGTCATATGGTTGTGGAAGAAGAGGGACAATCCTGGTTGGTAAGATTTAGACCCTGGGCCTGGGAAGTCAGGGACAGAGGGAGGGAGGGAGGGAAGGAGGGAGGGACCATTACCCTCTTAGCTTTTGTCTGTACAACATCTGAGCAGCAACCCAGGCTTCCAACACCACCCTCAATTTTACAACTAGCCAACAAATAATCTTAATTTAAAAACTCAGAATCCTCGCAATAGCTACTGACTCCAGAAAAACAGTCTCAGCAAGAAACGACAGAATAAGATGAACTTCCTGGACATTGAAATTATTCTCTTTAGGCTCATGCTGTTATTGTTGGACTTCTTGTACATTTTTCACAGACCACTGATTGTTCTAAATTCTCTAGCATGAATGGTAATGGACAACTGTACTGCCCTGGATTTTTTGCTGGCCAGTTTAGGAGGGGTATGGGTCATTGCCAGTATCTCTTGCCTCATTTGGATTAATGACCTATTTAGCTGGATTGGCTTTGGATGAGGAGCCCGACTATTGTCCAATTTCCAGTGGGCCTGGTTATACTACTACATGTCACTATCATGGTCATTTTTGGCTGAAGTTGCCTAAGACACATGGAATGTATTTGACCAAAGCCTCTATCAGTACAACTAATTAAAGTATCTGATAACCTATGTGGTAGTTCATATTCCTGAGAATCTTTATGCGTAAACAGTTGGGAGGTCTTGTTGTAGGGGAGTGGCTTCACCATGGTGTCCCGGCTAGTTTGTACATATGTAAGCCGTGCAGGCAAAAGCTTGAACAACAGCTACTCTGAGTCATGGCAGAACACCTTGTGATCCTTCTAGAACATGAGAGGACGAGAAGAGCTTTACAGGCTTTCAAACCCATCTCCCACTCCCTTCCCTATCTCTTGTGGAAGGTGATCAGGAGATAATTTCTCATTGCCTCTCAGATTCTGAAGAGGTATGAGGCTTTCTGGATATAACTACAGACTGTAACACTGCTTAGCTACAGTCTGAAATTGGCTCCTCACCAAGGATTCCTTGAGCCCCCTTTTGTTTTGGTGTCATTGTGTTTGGTGTGTGAGACAAGGATCTGGGGACTGGCATGTTTGGATACTGGGATGGAGTCCCGTATTGGGCTCCCTACTCCTTTTGCTGTTTACATAAGTAATACATTGTATGAATCTAAAAGCGACTTCTTGTATCTTTCCTGGTTAAGTCAGTTAGGACAGAGCCCTGACCTTGCCTGCTGTTGTGTGTTTAACAGGAAGAAGAGTGGAAAGAGTAGAAATATATGGTGAATTTGGGTAAAAATAGACTATCTCCTTTTTCCTTTTGAACCAAAATGCTGGTCAGAACCATAAGAGACCTTCTTTCTGGTGGACCGTGACTTAATAATCAGGCAGCTGAGGGCTCCTTATTCTGATCTAAAACTCCCCCTGATTATTTTGTACTGAGCGCAGTTTTCTCCATCTTGTCCCTAAGAAGATCGTGGGAGGATTTGTTGTGTGCTCATCCTTCCTGTGATCTTTCCCAGGGTAAGACTCACTGCTTCCTTCTCAGTGCTCACAGACTATTCACTCCTGTCCTTTCAGGATCTTCTCTAGTATCCTCTTAGAAACAAGCATGCAAACAAATCAGGAATCTCATCTGAAGTCTCCTTTGTCCTGTGATTTTTCACAGGTAAGGTATCTGTAAGCCCTTAATACCTGGGGACCGGACAGGAATCTGAGTCTCTGAACTGGAATTTCGGTGAAGCAGACATCTTCCTACTTTGTTCACCCCAAGAGACTATACATACAAATGGGAAATGGCCAGACCATATAGAAAAATAGAACTCCAACCCATAGCCTGCAGCAATCAGTCCAGGAAGCCAAAAGGAACCCTGTGGCAATCAGCACCAAAGAGCCAGAATTTGATTAATATCCTCCCCCCAACCACTCACATAAGGTGCCTTGTTTCTAGTGAGCACCCCCCCCAAGCCAAGGATCTCCAATCAGAGCATACCTGAAGTCTCTCCCCACCCCACCTCCTCCCCTCTTCTCTCCTCTCCTCTTTTTTCTTTTCTTTTCTTTTCTTTTCTTTTCTTTTCTTTTCTTTTCTTTTCTTTTCTTTTCTTTTCTTTTCTCTCTCTCTCTTCCCCCCACCCCTTTTCTTCTCTTTTCAGCCATAAAGCTTTCCCACTTCTCTGCTGGGCTTAGTCTCTGCCAAATGCAAGTGATGGTGGTTGACTCCCTTGCTTATAGCAAGCTCTGAATAAATAGTCTTTGCTTGTTCTCATTTTGGCGGTCTTCTTTTATTTCTACAATTTCTTTTAAAGGTTTAACTTCCCGGCAAGCTATGTGGTGTTAGATAAGCCATTTCTTCTCTTTCTCCACCTGAAAAAGCTGGTTCAACATTTATTCATTCCTTTATTGGACAAGTATTCCTCAGCACTTAAAGAAACTGGGCCATAAGAGGTGCTAGACGTTGGGTAGATATCGAGCCACAAAGACGATCCAGGCCATTAGCTGCTCTCTGGGAATGTAGAGCCCCGTCAAGGGATGGAGATCTGTGGACAGGCATGTCAAGAGAAGCAAGTGTTCTTTCATACTAGCATCCATCCTACGAGCGCAGTGCAGTAGAGCAGAAGGGTGGTCAGTGGGAAGAGGAGGACTGGGAAAGAATTCCCAGAGGAAGCCTTCTCCCCAACCGCCCGGTCCCCTGCATCCCCACAGCGGCGCCCCGAGGCAGCTAGCGTCTCTGGAAGAGCTGGACGCGCTCGGGGCTCCCTGTTTCTTTTTAGGGCAAGAAGGGAGGACCACAGAGACGTGGCGCCCTCCACCGTCCTAGAGAAGCCAGAGTGGCAAGAGTGCAGCCGCCTCCACCTCTCCGGTGCGGAGCTCTGGCTCGCGCAAAGCGTGGGGAGCTGGCGCGGGGCTGGCTCGCCTCGCGGCGCGTGGAGTGCGGAACGTGCGCGGCCCGCTGCTGGGCGCAAGGCCTCCCTATCGGACCCCACTGGGTCCGGAGCGTCCCGCCCCAACCCTGGGCAGCCCCGGGTCGGGCCTGGCGCGCGCTCGCTTCCCGGGAGGGCGGCCTGGGCTATGGCGGCTGCGGCCCTGGCGATCGGGGACCCCTTCAGCCCTGCACTCGAGCTGCTACCGGGACAGCCCGCACCCGTCCGGGCGCGCCCGGTGAGTGCGGGGCCGGCGCCACGAAGCTGGCTCGGCTCTGCCCCGGGCTCTAGGCCCACAACGAGGGGCGGAGGGGGCAGTGCGGCGACCGGGAAATCGGGGTGCAGCCCAGAGTGGAGGGGCCGGAGGAACAGGCAGGGAGCAGAACGGATTCGACATCCCCCAGACTGGCGCCAGCAGGGAAAACACACGTGCAGCTGCACAGGCGGGAGCCAAGCACTGGGGCAGAGGTGTTCACAGAGCGTTGTGCGCCGCGACGAATGTCCAGCATTTCCATGTCCCTGGTTTTTACAGAGCTGGTTATGTTTGAGGTGGGTCTTGGGGATGAATCTGAGTTTGCCGGCCCCGGAGGGAGGAACTGCATCTCCAGGCAGGGGGAGCTGCAGGTGCAAGGACACAGATCTGGGCAAGGCAGGGGTTTGGGTTCGTGACAGGTGACAGGCTAGGGGATGGGCGGGGGGTGGGGGGGCTGGTGGTGCAGGAGATGATTCTTGGCAGGTGAGAGGGGCCTCTGAACAGTCAGTGGAATTACCCGCGGTGCAGAGGATTTGGGTGTTTTGAGGCTGGGCAAAGGTGGACCAGCCAGTCTTTGAGCCCTGGGGTGCTGGGTGAGTCGCTATGCTGACTTTGTAAGGCAAGGACCTACGTGAAATGCAGCAGTATCAGCCTCTCAGTAGTATGGAGATGGAGATCCCGAATGAGGCAGTGGCTTGGAATTAGAAACCTTGATGGCTCTTCATTAGTCCTGCTTGTGTTTCTTAAGGAAGAAGGTAAGAGAAAGTGCAGAAGCTTGGGCTCCCAAAGATACAGGAAAAGGGGGGCATTGAGACTGAGAAGTGAGGAAGAGAGTAGGGTGCCACGTTTGAGAGAATGTGCTGGAGTGGCAGAGTGCAGGGAGTCAAGTCAGAGTGTGGATCTCCAGAGCAGCCTGGGTATTCTGAGGTGCCTTTAGCTGCCTCTGTGGCCCATGACAGTGAGGGGGAGGGAGAGAAGAGAAAGAGCTTCACATAGGGGCACCGGGGTGGCTGGAGTGAGGCTAGAAGGCAGTGTGGCCCAGTAGAGAACAGCTGGAGAGGCAAACAGCCCTGAATTCTGTCTCCATTCTGGAACTTTGGGGGCAGTGATTCTCTGAGCCTGTTTCTTCTATAAAATGAATCTGATCCACTCCTCATAGGCTGTGAGGCATATACGAAGTTTAGTATAGGTAAAGTGCCTGCCAAAGGCTCAGTCAATAGATGGTAGTTGTACTTCTTATCAAGGGTTGATGACCTCTGACAGAGGGCCAGCTGTGGGAAAGGAGGGTACCTAGAGTCCAGATCGTTGTTTGGGCCACAGGGATGAGAAGGGAAAACTTGCAGAGACTCACGAAAAAGAAGAAAGGATGAAGAGACATGAAAAACTGATGGCTGATCCCTTGTATCTTTGTAAGTAAGTAGGGGTGCCAATCGGCAGAGAGTTCCGGAGACCTTCAGAATCCAGAAACTCGACTGGCATCCCTTCCAGTACTTCTTAGTGCCTGGTCTACCCCTTACTCCAGGCCTGGGTCTGGGATTGTCCTAGGGCATTTAAACACATGTTGTTTCAGGAGTTAGTGACCTTCGAGGATGTGGCCGTCTACTTCTCTGAGAACGAGTGGACCAGCCTGGCCCCTGCTCAGAGGGTCCTGTACAGGGATGTGATGCTGGAGAATTATGGGGCTGTGGCTTCCCTGGGTAAGGATTTTATTTTTGGACTCTGCTTCTGCCCTTCAGAGTTTCCTGGCTTCTTCTGCCTTAGAAGCTCAGGAGTCTTTGATAACCCCCACCTGAGCGGCAACCTTGGAACCTCGGATTCTTAATGACCCAGCCTCAGTGGTTGCTGGGAAGTGGGAAGTCCTGGTATACATTTGAGCCTCATATAGACTTTCTTGCCCCAGGGTGAGAACTGCCTGACTCCCAGCTGGGGGTAGAATAGAAAAAGAGCAGATTCGTGGTGCCCCAGTAATGCCCCACCAGATTCTTGGTGCCCCACCAAGTGCTCAGTTTCCCACCCGCTCTGTTTGGGAGATCGAACCCAGTACCAAGCACCCTCATGCAGATGGCTGAACTTGAGAGCTGTAAGAGAGGGAGAGAACAAGAAAGCTCAATCTCAATGAGTGGAGTCATCCATGTGCTTACTCAGACTGTTATTGAGCACCTCTTACTCTAATTCCTGACCTTTGTAAGTCTCCTGCTCTCCTGCTCCGCCCCCCAGTCTCTGGTCCCTTCCCCTGGACTTCCTTTTCTTGCTCTCCCTAGTTAATTCCCTTCTTTCCCCTCCGCCCCTAAAGACAAAGCCTGGGAGGAGCCCTGGGATTGCTCTCTGTCACCCCACTCACCTGCCTGTCCCATTTCCTTCCCCGAAAGCAGCATTTCCATTTCCTAAACCGGCTCTGATTTCCCAGCTGGAACGAGGGGAAGCACCCTGGTGCAAAGCTCCTCAGGGAGCTCTGGATGGAGAGGGCCCGAGGGGCATCTCCTCAGGTGAGTGAGGACAGGTGCCAGTCATCTGACCAGTTCCTTTGTCTTGATCTTTAAAATGTAATCAGTATGCATTCTCTTAACCTAGTGCTTTAGACACCAGTGGAATTCCTTTTTTTTTTCTTCTTCTTCTTTTTCTGTGCTCCCACGATTTTCCATCTCCTTGAGTCTGTTTATTATTCACCCTGGCTCCTCTTCATTCACCTGTTTGGCCTTGAACCCATCTCCACTGTTCTTATCATGGCCTCCATTCATCTGTTCTCCCTGACTTTGCTGTTGACACACTAGGCTGGCCTTTCTACATTCTCCACCTCCTTATAGTCTTCCAGCAGAAGATTCCAACTGCCCTTTTGTGGTGTCATGCCCCTCTTTATCATTATAAATCAAGAAGGCCCAATAACCCTGAGCCTTATAGTTCCAATTCAGGGGTTTCTGGTGGGCAAAGTCCTGGCATTCCTTTCGGCCCAACACAGGGCTTTCCTGTTCCTAATTTCCTAGTGACAACTGTGTCCCCTTTTTGCCTCCCTGGCCCTGTTCCATATTCTTCCTGCAGAAGCTCTTCTGTGGGCACATGGAACTTGAGCTGTACCTTCAAATTCCCCATTCTTACAGTTCCTTGCTGTGTCTGGCAGTCTTTCCATATAAGGATGTTTTTGATTGCAAGTAACAACCCAATTTAGATTGGCTTAAACAAAAAAGGGGAATTTACTGTTTCATGTAAGTAGGAAGTTCATAGGTAGGGTTCAAGTACACCTTGATCCAAGTTTCAGTCTCTGCTCTTTTATATCTCCTTGTATGTTGGCTTTGTCTACAGTCTGGCTCCTCTTGTGGTTGTAAGATGACTGGTAGTTATATATACACTATGGAGTATTATGCCTCCATCAGAAAGGATGAATACCCAACTTTTGTATCAACATGGACGGGACTGGAAGAGATTATGCTGAGTGAAATAAGTCAAGCAGAGAGAGTCAAATATCATATGGTTTCACTTATTTGTGGAGCATAACAAGTAACATGGAGGACATAGAGAGATGGAGAAGAGAAGGGAGTTGAGGGAAATTGGAAGGGGAGATGAACCATGAGACTATGGACTCTGAAAAACAATCTGAGGGTTTTGAAGGGGCGGGGGGGTGGGAGGTTGCGGGAGCCAGGTGGTGGGTATTATGGAGGGCACGTATTGCATGGAGCACTGGGTGTGGTGCATAAAAAATGAATTCTGTTACGCTGAAAAGAAAAAAAAAAAAGAAATAGTACATAAAAAAAAAAAAAGATGACTGGTGGTTGTAACCAAGGCTCTGCTTCTTCATACCTAGGAAGAGAAATAGGGCAGGCCTTCCTCAGGCCTTTGCGATGTACCGTCTTAAGTCTTACGGCAACTCTAAACCAATCTCTGTGGCCAGCGAAGCATGCACTGATGGTCTTGGCCTGGACTGCCAGTTTCTGAAACTATCTCTCTTGGAGTGAGTGGGATAGGTTAACCCACTTGACTTAGACCAGAGAGGGCTACACTAGGAACTGCAGTTGGGACCACTCCCCTCCAAAGGGCACGGCTACTCCATAATGGTGGGGATGATGGGAGCGTGGTGGTTGGCGGTGGTGGTAGATTGGAGGTAGAGAGACAACTGTAGTGTCCTCTGCCTTCTCTCAGGATCTCAGTGCTTACTCTCCTACCACCCATGGGAATTTCCCATCTTGGGTCTAGGCAGAAAGCTGACAGCTTTCTTGAGTAAAACCCTTGCTCCCTGACCTGTAGAAAACTTCCTTTGAGTACACGTCCCTATTTGAAGTTCATTTTTGGGCTTCGAAAATGGGGACACACAGTCCTTGGCTTCTGCAATATAGAAGGCAGTCATTTGGAGGGTGAGGAATTGTTCTGTTTTTTGTTGTTGTTGTTGTTGTTGTTGTTGTTGTTGTTTTTAAGAGGCTTTGGATGGGAGTTCCAAAGAGACAAATCTTAGCTAAGCCTAAAGAAAAGTTTATTCGGGTGGACCTTTGCTATTAGAAGTGTCTGTCATTAGAATAAGAAGTAACTTCTGGAAATGGCTGAGTGAGGCTTTAGGGCCATGTCTAATGGGTGCCATAGAGAGACCGACCCACAGTTGGCCCTTTGTAGAAAGAGAAGGTGTTGGGGTCCATTATCGAACGAGACTGAGACAAAGTGAGAGTTATGCAAAGCCTTCTTCTATGCCAAGCATTAGAAGTTAGACTGACCAGCCAGGGGAGCGAGACTGAGACAAAGTGAAAGTTATGTGAAGCTTTATTCTATGCCAAGCATTAGAAGTCAGACTGACCAGCCAGGGCCGCCTCCGAAGAGAGCGACCTGCTCCCGATCTCACAGGCTGGTTTTATAGGGCATAACCACAGACCCAAGGTACGTGGCTTCTATTGTTAAGGCGTTTACTCCCAGAATCGATATCCGGAACCATACCAGGAACTACGGGGGCGTTTATTCCCGAATTGAAGTCCGTGGATGTAAACAACAATATGGCTACCTAGGCAATATGGAGTTGCTCTGGCTAAGCAGATCCTAATGGTTAAACAGGTTTTAACATTAAATTGGCCCTAACAAAGGCAATATAGAAGCTAAAGGACTGTGGCTTCCCAACATAGCCTCAGGAACTACTCTTTGCAATTCCATCCCATCCTGGTTGTTTTCTATGTCAGTTGGCTTTTGCCTTCTAGGGGAGGTAAAGAAGAGAACTTGTCTCTCCTATTTCTTCTTGACATTTAAAAATGAATGATTCATTTTCATGTTCTGGGAAACTGATGGAATCCCAGCTTCGATGTGCACCTGTTTTCTATCCTTTATATTGTTCTCCTCAAGTTTTAGGTCACCTGTGTACCAGTCTCTCCACCCACCTTCATTCTCCCTTAGCACTTCCATCTCTGCTCCTTTCCTAAGACGCCCCAATCTTCTGACTGAGCCAGCCTTATTTATATCTTGACCCTGGCAGGATGTCCATTTCTAAAGCCTGCTGGGATCTCCCATCTTGAGCAGGAAGAGCCATTGAACCTGAAACCGCAAGGAGAGGGTCCAAGCCTAATCTGTACTGGTAAGTGAGGGAAACAAGTGCTTTCCTCCCAGGCACATGTTTTCCACTGTCTTTCTTTGTAAACTGTTAAAATTCCATTTTACTGTTGATGTTCTAAATAAAAATCCCTTGAGAAATCCCCAAGTCAACCATTTAATGAAGAGCAAAGTTAACCTCTAAACTTCAGGTTTCATTTGAACATGATCAATTAGTTCGGGTGGGTCTTGGGTCTTAGACTCTAACAGAACAGATGGTCTACTGGCTGCTATGGTCAACCAAAATTTTAAAAGTAAATGCTGTATTTTATTCATTCTGTTAGTTTTTAGGGATCAGAAAGCAAGTAATGTATGGCCCCTCTCTTGCAGGGCCTCATAGTCTAATGGTACATTCTACATATACATATACATAAATACGTATACATATATATATGTATAATTTACATAAACGTATACATACATATACATATGCATAAATGTATAGTTACAGCAAAGTCCGATGCTGTAACAGCGGTGTAACCAAAGCACTGTGGGAACAAAGAGGAGGCAATCTTTGCCTGAAGTAGTTTGGGGAAGCACTTTTCATGGTGGAACTGGGAACTGGATTGAATGAGAAGACCATATTTCCTTTTAGTGTTGACCAGTATGAGGAAGATTCTCCCTGTTGCTTCCCCCTGTGTGTGACAAGTTCAGGTTCCCCAGGTATACCACAAGGATTTGTTATTTCTGAACAGGTCCTCTGTCCTGAACCCTGGCCTTCTCCTGTTAGAAACCAGACTACCTAGAAGAAATTCTGACTTGTCTCCCTTAGATTCAACTCATCTATTTCTGGAGAGCTCCCCTGGTGCTTGGGAATCATAGCCCTCAGGGACTCTGTCCATTTTTTGCCTTTCTGTGGCATACACTTCGGTTACTTTCTGTATGATATCCCTGTTGTGCCATTTTCAGCTAGAGCAGGGCCGCTGAGACACAGGGGTGGCACTTGGAGTGAAGTGGACACATTAGTACCACTTGGTGACCTTACTCGCTCTGTCCTGGGTAATGATGACATTTGCAGCTTTAATTTCTTCTTTCAGAGAGTGTGTTGAAGAGTGAGAAAGAAGATTTTGCTCTGAAGGAGGAACATTTTGAGGAGGCAAAGGACCACATGGTGGTATCATGCAGACCTCGGTGGTATGATTCCCAGGAATTCTGGTTTGGAAAAACCTGTGAGGAGTTAAAAAGCAGGTTAGGGAGATGGTCTGACTACTCAAATGGGAGAAGTGTGGAGAACACTGCAAATGATATTATAGAAGTGATTGTCAAAGATGAGATGGTGTCAGGAGAAGATAGTTCGGAGAACACTGATGTGAATACCCACCTTGTTATCCGTCAGAAAATTCTCAGTCAGCAGGTGTTCTATATATGTGAAGAATGTGGCAAGTGTTTTGATCAAAATGAAGACTTTGACCAACATCAGAGAATTCATAATGGAGAGAAGGTCTATGGATGTAAGGAATGTGGGAAGACATTCAGTTTTAGATCACATTGCATTGCACATCAGAGAATTCACACTGGGGTGAAACCCTACGTGTGTCAACAATGTGCTAAAGCCTTTGTTTGGAAATCAAACCTGATTCGGCACCAGAGAATACATACCGGAGAGAAGCCCTTTGAATGTAAGGAATGTGGGAAGGGCTTTAGTCAGAACACAAGCCTTACACAACATCAGCGAATCCATACTGGGGAGAAACCATATACATGTAAGGAATGTGGGAAAAGCTTTACTCGGAACCCAGCCCTACTTCGACATCAGAGAATCCACACTGGGGAGAAGCCTTATGAATGCAAGGACTGTGGGAAAGGCTTCATGTGGAACTCCGATCTTGCTCAGCACCAGAGAGTCCACACGGGGGAGAAGCCCCATGAATGTATGGACTGTGGGAAAAGCTTTATCTGCAAGGCACACCTTATCCGACATCAGAGAATCCATACTGGGGAAAGACCCTATAAGTGTAATGACTGCGGGAAGGCCTTCAGTCAGAATTCCGTTCTGATTAAGCACCAGAGGCGCCATGCTAGAGAGAAAACCTGCAATTGTCTAACCTCTCACTTTCTTGAACATTAGCAAACACAGAATAGCGGTACTTGTTTGTAATTCTTATGCACCAGGAACTCCGGAGACATAAAGAGGTGGTTGTCCACAGTTTAACTCTAGTTGCCAGTATTATCTTGCCCCTTCTGAACAGATTCCCCTTGATCTAACAAGACTGGTCGTCCTCTTCTACCACGTTCATGCTAGGCAAATTTTAGTTGAGTGTCTGCTCTGTCAGATACTATGCTAACCACTTTACATACAATCTTTAGTTTCTCTTAATCCTGTTCAGGTGGGTACTCCTCATTTTACAAATGAGAAGTCTGGGGTTGAAAGAAGCTATAAAACTCATTCAAAGTCACTTAGCTAATGTGTTATGGAATTGAGATTGGAAGCAGGTCTATCTGACTCTAGATTTACTGTTCTTTATTTGTGCACATTTCTGCTTCTGCTCATTTCTATTTGCTCAAGTTTCCCTAGGCTAAAAATTTCCCTTCCTCATCTAAGACCCAGCTCTGTCAGCCAAACAGATCTCTCTTCCTCTTCTACTTGTCATCAGTACTGTCCAAATTGGTATTTCACTATGTGCTGTCTTAGATTCTAATGTCTTATGTAAGTCCAGCTAAATGGCTCTTTGAGGACCAACACTGTATTTCTTTTATGTTTTTCAAATTTTGAAACGTATTTATTTTTGACTAGCTATAACATGCTCATGATAAAAAGAAAAAAGTTGAAATAGTTCCAAAAGGTGTTTAGTGAAAAGTAAATCTCCCTGTCTACCTTTTCAGAGACAGCCACTTTTACTGGTTTTGTGTGTTCCTGGATGTATTCTTTTTATATACAAGTACTCAGCTTTCATAAGTCTACCTCACTGAAAACCATATTTGCTGTAGATGACAGTGCAGTTACATTGCCAACTCCAGAACTTTCTTTCTTCCTCTGAGGTTGTGGTCCACCTTGAGGTCACCAAGGTAACTTAAGGAAAGTAGTGGAGGGTAGTCTGAGATGTGCAGTCTTGAGAGACCTGATTCCTCTTGTGTTAGAAGATAGCACTCTGGGACTGGGAAAATGTAAGCTTTTGTGTTTTGTTTTCATAAAAATGTGTATAGCTACAACCCTTCTCATTGTTCCACTACCCCAGATGCCTTTCCAGGCTTTCCCTTATATTGTCATGATATCCCACATTCCAGAGTAAGCTGGAGCTTCCTGTAGTAAGCTACTGACTGTTAAAGAAACAAAGGCCCTATTCAGAGAAGAGCGCTGGCCAAAACAGATGAAACGTACATTCCAGACTTCACCTTTAGAGCCATTTTTCAGTTTGCACTTTGCCTCTGCTCATTAGGCATTCCACTTTAGAAGTTCCCTACCAGGTAATAGAATTGTTGACTAAGGAGCAAGGAAGAGAAGCCAGATGCTGGCTTGGACTAAACTAATACTTCCTGAAAATTACAAGCATACTCTCTGATTGCTGAAGCCTAAAACCATGTAGTAAGGAGAACTTGGCTGGAGAACTTGGCTTAACATAGTCCAGTTAGGGTAACCTCTAATAAGCATTGAAACTTTAGTACTACACAGAACCAAGGAATGGAAATGAGTGATGTGAACAGGCATTTGGGGGAAGTTTATTAGGCAAATACCACTGAGCACTTGCTTATATGCAAAGCACTGTGCTAGGTGCTGCATGAACAATGGTAAGGCAGACCTGCTTCCTGCCTTTCTGGAACATTCATCTAGTGAGACCAAACAACAACAACAACAATCAAATAATTTATTAGAAAATTGCTAAGTGTTATGAAGGAAATGAATGCAACAGAGAGAGGGAATGATGGAGAGGGAGCCTCTTTATATAAATGGTCAGGGAAGGCCTAGCCTAAGAGGTAATATTAAGGCTAAATCAGAATGAGAAGAAGGCACATGTATCAAGAATGGGAAGAACAGCAGGCGGAGGGAACTGCTCTGCAGACTCTGATGTGTGAAGGGTTTGGCATGTTCAAGAAACCAAAAGTTTTGGGGGTATAACATAATGATCAAGAGTAGGAGTGTAGACACAGGTGGACCAGATCATTAAATTCCATCCTAAGTGAAAGGCCATTAAAGGGTATTCAGTGGAGGAATGACGTTGGATTCACATTTTAGGATGATTGCTGACTGATAGGTAGCCAATGGTCTGTAGAGGGAGGAAAGTGAAAGGAGACCATGTTGGAGATGGCTAGCAATCCAGGTTGGAGATGATAATGACTTGGAGTGGGTGGTGGTAGTAGAAATGGAGAGAAAATCTGTTTAAGATATAGTTTGGAAATAAAAATCAGTGACCTGCTAACAGTGGATGCAGGAGTGACAGAGAATTAGGGACAGCTTTCTGGTTTGTGGTTTGAGCATTTAGCCTGATTGAGAATTAGACAGCAGACCACTTACTGGAATGAATAAGACTGGAGTGGGAATAGGTTTGGGGAAGGAGAAACTGAGAACTCTGTTATGGATTAACATTTGAGATATGAATAAGATGTATAAGTAGAAATTTCAAGCGGTGGTTGTATATGTGGGCTAGAGCTTAGGGTTGGTCATATCTAGAGTTTTGCATCTGGGAGTCCTCAAGTGAGCAGAAGATATTTAAAGCCATGGGAAGAAATGAATGAAATCCCCTGGAGTTGCTCTACCAAACACAGTAGCCAGGGACTATATGTAGGTATTTAAATTAGATTTAAAATTTAGGTTCTTATATTGGCCAGAACATACTGGATAGTGTAGACATAGAACATCTTCATCATTTCAGAAAGTTCTATTGGATGGTACTGCCTCTGGAGAGTATAGCAAAATATGAGAACCCAGGATAGAGTCCTATGACACACCAATTCAGTATTTAGGGAGTTGGACAGGCGGAAGTGCCAGGAAGAGATATTAAGAACAGTCAGTGAGAGATTGGTGATATTACCAGTGGACACATTACACAGGCACAGTTGATAGAGGGTTGAATGCTTGGACCAGTGCTACAAGGAGGTGATCATTAGAATCCTAAATATTAATAAGCTCCCAGAGTGAGGATGATATGTATGCTAGATGACATTAGTATCCTAAAATGGGAGAGAGAGAATGAATAGCAGAGCAACCCATAGAAATGGAACCACAAAAGAGAAGAAACAGTTTGGATTAATGGAGGAGGATCATGGAAGTTAATCAACCCTAGGAACTCTTTTCCTCAAAGATGGAAATATTTGTAGGCAGAGTGGTGGAATGGCAAGACAGATTTTAGGAGTATCGCAATGAGAATTATCAAAACACAGCAAAAGATGTGTATTTCAGAGGGATTAAGAAATAGCATGTAGAAATGGATGCCGCCTACTAAGAGAATTCCTGACTAGTTTTCTCCTTACCAGAGCCCCAGACACAGGTACTTGAAAGCCCTGAGCCTATATCAAAGACCGTAATCTGTGGTGAAGGATTCATAACATGGAAGACCTTCCAATTTGTAATGACACTTCCCACACATCTCAAAGTCAGAAGAGGAATGAAATTAATACTCACTTCCTGCATTTTGGAGAAATTTAAATATGAAAGAAAAATTAGAAGTTTAAGATACTTTTTGATAAATTGCAATTAGCAATATATTAAAATCAAAATTGATTATGGTAAAATTTTGTCTTCAAAGTTTTCAAAAGTAGGATCAGAAAGTGAGGAAATATAAAAATAGTATACAGAGTCATTCACATATGAAAATTATCCGTTCTGCCCCAAATCTCTTGGGGGTAACAAATAATGAAATCCCTTCTGTTTTACAACTCGGAGCTACAGAGTTGTCTTAGAAGCAACTCAGTTGCAAACCAGTATCTGCAATTCTGAGCATGTCTTTGTCATGGTCAAGTCAGGGTTCCGTATTATTCATCTCTGATTTGGTTCCCAGCATCCATTCTTCTTCTTTATGGTGACAATAACCCAAATAATCTTTGGGAAAACATCTTTTCTCAGCCATGTGTTTTGGCCTCACCCCCAACTTCCTAAGCCCAGGTCCATCAACTTGTCCTATTTGGGCACAGAACCAAGGAGATACAAGGAGATATTTAGTAGGCCTTCTGAAAGAGAGAGGCTTTTCTTTGAAAACAACCAAAGAAGACACTCTCTGTCCTCCTCTATATGGTATATAGGAAGATATGAGGCCTTGAACTAGGGCAACACTTTTTTTTTTCCTGTTAAAAGGACAAGTGAGGGGGGAGTCTGGAGCTTCCTGGTGTTAGCAAGTGGAGCCTGAGAATGAAGGCAATACCAAAGAAGATAATGGCAAACTAGAGAAAAAGTGGGTCCCTGGTGATATTGAGCCATTAGTCCAAGCCTTACCTGAGAGAGACCTACCTCTGGGCTTTTCAGCTATGTGAGCCAAAACACATCTTTTGGTAAACCAGTTAAATTTGGATTTTCTGTCATTTGCAAATAGTCATACTGATAGAGGCTTGTATTTGAAAGCAGTGGTTTCTAGTACAGCACCTTAATGTTCCATTTTCTCCTGCTTAAAAGTCACACGAGCCGCTCATTTGTATATCATCTCAGTTGCTTGGAGTTTGAGTGGCTTAGTAGGCATGCCCCATGCCTTACACATAATTTCATGAATACCAGCAGACATATTTTGTCATACCTCAGCATACCTTCCAAATGTGAATATAATACTCTCCATTCCAGATTCTCTAGTGGATAACTTCCTGTCTCCTTTGACGTATTTTCTAGGCACCCCCTACCCAACCTATGTGAAATTGGGGTTTGCCATGTCACCTATATTTTAAGTTGGTTTCTTGTGAAATAACCGGATATTTTTCATATCCACTGATGCATTGTTTTACTGAGCAGTGTTCCAATACTACTGAGAGGTACAGAGTCCCCTAGAGCATGTTCTCTGAAATTGAAAGTCATTTATCTGCCAAGTGATTGAGAAGTAAGCAAGAAGTTACTTCCTTACCTAGGCAAAAAGGGAAAACAGAAAGAACTGGCTTTGACCTTCCCTTCCCCCTAAGAATAGATTTATATTCCTGGTGTAAGTGATATGGGTGTTGGAGTTAAGCCACAGCA